CTCCCTCCCTCTCTCCCTCCCTCCCTCCCTCTCTCTCGATCCCTCTCTCCATCCCTCTCTCGCATATGGCAGCGGGGGCCAAAATGAAGCACAGCCAGAAGTGCGACGGCGACCTCCGGAACACACAGCCGCGGCGCTGGAATAAACTGGATAAACGGGGCGCGGCGCAAAGCCAATCAGCGCCGTAACGACTCCTCACCTCGCCCCATACCCCATACCCGCTGTCGCATGTGGGCGGGGCGGGGCCGCGCGGGCGGGGCGCTCCTCCCGTGTCCCGTGGGGTGCACCACACCACAGTGCCGCACAGCACACCCACCCCACACGCATATGCCCGGCGGGTGATGGGATGGCACACCCCTCCCACACAGCCGCACCATACCACACTCTGTGCCTCCGCGCTGCTCTGTGATGGAGATATGCGGCCGCAAAATGAATTAACTTTACCGCCCCGCCCTACCCCGCCACGCCCCGCCACGCTCCGCCACGCCCCGGGTTGCGCACGCCTTTGATTTATGTTTTAGTGCCGTCAGGATTATCGCCTCATCGGCACCGTCCGTGTGTCCCCCTCACGCCCCTCTCACCCGGAAGGAAAAGGAAGGGGTGAAGGGAGAACGAAAAAAAAGCGACATGAGTGTGCGAGGCTTTTTAAAAAAATGTGAGGTGCCTGCGTTAAGCTACTTGAGGTCTAGTGCACTGGCATCTACCACCAGGCAGGCATCCCTTTACACTGAAAAGAATCTCGCAAAATAACGGCGTGATGTTTCAGATGGGTTATTCGTCCAGCCTACTTCCGCTCACTGTAGTGAGAATGGACTAGGTGCGAAAATGACGGTACCGATACTCGGTGCCGGAAGGTCTTACCCGGAAAGTACAACAGTTTTCCTGACATCATTGATTCTTTCCTTAAATTTACTATAGCACGGCGCCTGTGAGATTCGGGATAGGCCATCCCGCAGTGCACGCAAGCATTGCAAGCAAGGTGTGGCCTACCTACCAGGCGCTATGACAGCGAATCACGAAAGCACTTCCTGTCATTTGCACAAACTTTATAAGCTACAAATCAATTGTTTTGCATTGCGTAAAGGGAAGGGAATACGTTGCGTTACAATGCGGCCAAATACACCGTGAAATCTAATTCGTTAGTTACAATTTTACAGTGTTCGGATGAAGTTCAGGAACGTTGAGCTTCAGTGATAAGCTACGACCGCTGCAGTGTCTTCAATAACTGGTGGCATGTAAAATTTGCCATGAGTGTACAGAATAAATCAGTCAGCCCGAGTCACAGCCAAAGCAACCATTACCATTAATCTACCTGACAATCAGAATTTACACGACCTTCGGTTTATACTGGATGGTCACTCAGCTCTGGTGGAGCAAATGGGTGTAACTATCCCGCATGCAGGCACACGGGCGCGGAGCCGTGGGGTACCGCCCAAGTACGGACGGAAGTGCCTGGTCTACTTTCTCCCAAGGGACCGTCAAGGCAACTTTGGACGCACCCAGCTGCTTGCCCTCGTCGGGAACAAAGAGAGGGTGAGAGTGGAGTCACCACATGATCGCGTCCCGAGTCTTCGGACGCAGCCAGCTGCCGCCGCCTCGGCCACCCCTCTGGACCTGTTGGTTATTTGTAGCTGAGCGTCTGGCAGCGCCCCTGCAGTGGCTCGCCCCGCCC